AATAAATAAAAATAAAAAGCAATCTACTACCAAATTTCCAGCCCCCTTTGATTCTCACTTTCTTTTTCTAATAAACCGGTTGTTCTTTTGGGCTTGGCTTTTTTGACCTTGTACCTGAAGGAAGGCGTTTATTATCTCTGTGGCCATCCTGGGTCAAATGGCCTGATTTCCAGTTTTGATACTCTTCCAGTTACTCATACGAGTCTCCAGAGCAGTGGTTCTCAGCTGGGGGTGATTTGCTTTCCAGGGGACATTTGGTGTAGGGAAACAGTGTATGTGCTACTGGCATCTAATGGGTAGAGGAGGCCAGAGATGCCGCTAAACATCCTAGAAGCACATGGCAGCCTCTTTACAACAGCAACAAACAACAGACCAAAATATCAATAGTGCCAAGGTTCAGAAACCCTGTTCTAGAGACTTACAGATTTGTTCAAGTTGGGTTTTTAGAAACTTGACCTTACAAATAAAAGAAAAATCATTCTGGAGTTGGCCTGGTGGATCACTTAGCTTCAGGGAGAGATACCAAAGGACACAAAACCTGAAAAATGTCAGAGATCCTCTAATTCAACCCCTTATTTGACCAAAGCCAGAGATGGAGGCCTAAAAAGGAGAAATGCTTAGAACTCTAGCCTTTGCCTACAGGTGGGTTGGCAAACTATGGCACATGGCCAAACCTTGCCTGCTGCCCATTTTTGTAAATAAAGTTTTATTGGAACAGTCACACCCATTTGTTTACATACTGCATATGGCAACTTCATACTACAATGGTAGAGTTGAGTAGACGGAGGCCATATAAACTGCAAGCCTAAAATATTTGCTATCTGACCCTTCACAGAAAAAGTCTGTCAACTCCTAAGGTAGAAGAAGGGCACAACTCGATGTCACATCCACAGTTCAGAAATGATCCTTAAGCACTTCTGATTTCCTCTTAATGTTCACTGATAGACCTTTTGTGGATAGGTTTGCCTTAACTTATTGAACTAAAAACATTTATATTTCCATATAGCAGTACCTATAGTATTAATAAACACCATTTTATCTCTATTTTTATCTTTATTAATTTTAAGGTTTTAAAGAATGGTTCTTCATTCAAGTATACCAGCATTTGATGAATTCATCAATTCTCTCTTGCTTACTTTATACTCATCATGATTTCAAACTCTGATCCTCTTTGATAAAGATTTCTTAACCTTAGGTAACTGTAAGTAGGCATAAACTATACCTTAGGTAACTATATCTAATGTATAAACTATAGGTAACTCTACCTTTTCACTGCTGAAATTATTGCTGACTAGTGTGACAGGGTTTAAGACATAATCAGTTACACCATTAACTTATAATTTCTTCATTTCCTAAGACATTTGTTAAGTCTTAGCTAAAGCTAATTCTTAAGTCTTGCAAATGTCTGGCCACCATCTGGTGGCGAAAGAGGTAACTGAGGCTTTATACTAACATGGAGCCTCTTCTGACCTTTTGCCATTACTATAAGCTCTGTGCCTCCATACAACAACTCCCTCACTCTGCTCATCTTACTCTAGAATAGATAAAAATGACAGTGTTACCAAGATGAGGGTCTACCACAACCTCAGAGACCCAAAGAACACAGCAGTGTGCTGGATTGACAGGATCCCGAGAGATCTTCAAATCCAAAAGCCTTCACTATCCAGCTGGCGAGACAGAGATAACACAGTAAACAAAGGGCAGAGCCAGGGCTGGAACCCAGACTTTCTCTCATGCCACTACACTGTAAGAAGACTGGATTATTTTTCCAAATGCAGCCAATGCAGGTTGAATTTATGTCCACATTGTAATCTCTTTTTAACATTCCCCTATTTTTAGAGTCAGCACACTAAACTGTGGGGACAACAATCATTTCTTTTTTTTTTTTTTTTTTAAGATTTTATTTATTTATTTGCGAGAGAGAACGAGAGACAGAGAGCACGAGAGGGAGGAGGGTCAGAGGGAGAAGCAGA